TCTCTATCTGTTTCCTTTCTTCTTCTCCCCCCAAGTGAAGGTGAGAAGGATCCCTTTTATAGAGTAAGGGTTCCCTCCCCTCTTACATAAATCGTGGGCTTAGTGATGAAGCCTAAATATACGCCCAAATATCGAGGCCCAATATATGGTACAACAGGAGTCCCCCAAGTTTTCAGTCAAGAGAGTCTTTTGGCTGGAGACTTCAAATTCAATCCATGTGTGGGTCGAAATGACTAGATGCCGTCCAGAACTAGTACTCGACATGAGACAGTGCTTAACGTCAAGCAATACTTAGCTAAAGGTAGCACACGTTGCGAGGTTGCTCGGCTAGAGGTAATGCTCTCGGCAAGGTGGTTGCGAGGCTGGAGGCGGTGTTCGTTGCGAGGCGGCTCGACTTGTGGCGTTCTTTATTATGAGTATGCACTTGACGTCAGCGTGCGCTCATTATGAGTTGATTCTTGACATGACTCGGGTCTGCTTGTCGGGTTCGCATATTGGGTCTATGTGTCGGATCCGCGGATCGGGTCCACAAGTCAGGTCTTTGAGTCGGGGCCATGCATGGGGTCATCGAGTCGGGGCCATCTGTAGGGTCTTTGAGTTGGGTCTGTGAGTCGAGGTTCGAGCTCAAGGGAGTCCAGGCACATAGGTGTCCAAATAAGCGAGTGTCCGAGCAAGTGGGTGTCTGGTCAGACAAGAGATCACCGTTCAGACTAAATCTTTGTCACCATGAGCATGTGGCTCAGTGATCCATAACTTCATTCGTAACAATGTTGATCAACTAAGTCCGCGCCATGAACCACCAAAGTTATGTCACCCTAAAATTTAAATAATAAAAGGTGTAATTTGGTCAGACTTGCCACATGTTATGGAAAATAGTCGTATGATAAACCATTAATAATAATGTAAAACATATTATTATAACATGTCACCCCGTTCGTTTAGGCAGTAATGCCATTTATATAACAGTAAAATAATGATAGTAGTAATGATGTGTATGCGTCGTGACCCGGCATAATAAGCGATGTAGTGGGTGTACATCTAGTAAATTATCATTGCAATAATACAATAATACTCAAAATGATGTAAGTGGGTGTACGAATTAAAGAGGGTTTTTAGGTGAATGTGATCAGCCTTCCCATGTGTCTAATGGATTAAAATAATAAAATATGTGTGATGTGATATGTTTTTTGTTAACATAATATTAAAATAATAAACAATGAGTTGTAAAGGGATATAAATATGCTCTTATCTTCCTCGTGTGTTTTTTTTTTCAAACAGTGAGATAATGGGTACATATTATACTCACGTATGATTAAAGTTTCATCCTAACATTTAAATAATGAATAAAGTATTCAGAAATGATTAAAGTTATGTTTATTTTAAAAGAAAGTGGTCGACACTTGTAACAATTATCATAACCAACATCAATAACATATTAAAAAAATAAAGTTATCATCTTTTGCATGTTCTCCCGTGGGTTTTTCAATGGGATTGTGGATGATCATAACATGTATCAATAACATATTAAATAAAAAAGATAAAGTTCTTATCTTTTGCATGTTCTCCCGTGGGTTGGGCATGGTTGACAGTTGCAGGTTACAACATGGGTGAGTAGTGGCTTGGAGGTCAGGGATGCCAGTTGCTTGAGCTATTGCGATTTGGAGGTCATGGCAATACCGCTTGTCTTCATGAGCGAGAGAGAGATACAAGAGCACTACGAGGGTAGTGAATGACAGCAGAAATGAGGAGTTTCCGCTGGCCGTCGATAATCAGAGACCGGCTGTCGTAGCTGACCTTGCGGGCCGTACCTGTTGCCAATAGTGCGATTCCCTGTATGACCTTGGGCTTCAACTGAAAAGCCAACGTCTGTTTTCTGGCAACGACATCCTTCAGTTCTAGAAACTGATCATTTTCATTGGTTACCAACAGACTTCTTTCGAACTCGTCCGGGTGTTCCGACCAGTTCATGTAGAAACAAGAACCTGGCAAGCGTGTTAGCAACCTCTCTGGATGCCTCGATCCTCCTCAGCTCGATCAGTCTTATACCCGCCCATGCAGTCTCATCAGAGATGAGCTTCCCAGCCTCGCTCTCACCCTGTGCCCGGATAATTGCAGCCGGCCTTTCCTGCTCAGTCTTGGCCACCACAAACTTGGACCGCTCCGCCTCTTGCTGAGCCACCTATTTCGCCTCCACGGCGCGCGAGAACTTCAGCCCGTACGACAAGTGCATGATGGCCATGTCATCCAGAACAATGTTGAAATCCATGGCGTGGCGAATCAAGCTCTCGCGCACGAGCGCTAACACGTGAGGGCGCTCGGTGAGAAGCTAATCGGTGTTGAATTGCGCAAAAACGGCATTCAGGACCTCATTGCCGATGGAGGGAAATACCTTCTCGTCCTATTCGAGCCCTAAGGTTTTCAAGATCTAAGGGAGTTGAGTGAACTCGGGGCGCGAGAGTACACGGAGGGTGAGATTCACCATCTAGAGATCCTTGGTGCCGGAGACGGAGGAGAAGGTGTGGGGCCGGGTGTAGATGTCGAAGATGTAGGGCTTCTGGAGCCATGAGATTAGGAAGTGGGTGCCTCCGCCGATAGGGTCGTTGATGACTTCGCAGAAAAGATCGAAGAGGACGGCGCGCTGGCCGCCGTCAACGGTGTAGAGTGAAGAGTTGAGGATTGTGGCCCCTGCGCCGAGGTCGAAGGCCGCGCTCACGAGGTTGGTGAGGAAGGACATGGCAGCTTGGTTGCTTCCCATCCTGGTGACGATGAGAAGATTCGAGAGAAAGGATTGCAGATTCACGGTGGTGAAATGAAAAAAATGAAATAGAACCGACATAGCTTTTCGTGTCGATTCCCACAGATGGCGCCAAATGTTGATGCATAAAATCCGACGGATCTTGGACTAACGTAAATTCAACCGTGAATCACACAAACGCACAAGAACACAAAGATATATCTTGGTTCACCTCAAGTTGGGCTACGTCCACACTGATGTCGTTAAATGTTGATGAAGGTTACAATATGCATGGAGGCTATAGAGGCTTAGTATTTGCTCTCTGTATTATTTTCTGCCTCTCTATTTGTTTCCTCTCTTCTTCTCCCCCCCAAGTGAAGGTGAGGAGGATCCCTTTTATAGAGTAAGGGTTCCCTCCCCTCTTACATAAATCGTGGGCTTAGTGATGAAGCCCAAATATACGCCCAAATATCGAGGCCCAATATATGGTACAACATAATTTTGTACAAACAATTCAGGCATACTGTTTGAATCTGATTTTACACTATCGTCCCATTGCATTGAAACCATTATATGACTCCAAAACTAAACAGATTTTTCTTGATATTACTATTAATTTTAATCATGGTAATTATCTTGAGAGAGATCTTTTGAGTTTGAGGAGATCCAGATGGATTAAATGGGATTAACATGGTGCGTGAGTTGTGAAAGTCTACAAAGTCATGCCTTTTTTGCTTGGATAAGGGATTGAACTAATCATATCTGATTTGAGAAGCATGCAGCACATGATGATTGGATTGATTCACAATCAAATTGAGTTGGTTTGTGATTTTCCATTTGAATTAATGAAGATTACATGGAGATAGGCATCCATGCAACATCTAAGGCAGAGACAAACCCACGTGGCTTCTTGTTATCAACATAGAGTTCCATTTGAGATAGAATACATCTCATCAAGCAAGCACGTGGCCTCATCATGAAATATTATGCGTGCGTTGAAGGAGATGAACAACCAGATGATGGGTTGAAGGAGGAATTGTAATTGGATTGCAATTCTTTATGAAATTGCATGGATGCGTCTGTGCATACAACTCTGGAGACGGAGTTTTGGTTGGAAAAAACACGTCATCCAATGGGTTTACAGCCACTATAAATACAGAGTCGCATGCAACATTAAAGGCATATCTAATTTAACACACAAATTGCCCTGCGCAAACTCTCGCTCTACGCGAAGCCTCTCAACAACCTTGAGATTTTTATTTTATTTTCTCGCCGACACATCTTCAGTTTAGATAAACAGCACTGTGAAGACAACTGGCGACATCCTCAGTTTGGATAAATAACACTGGAGCCGTAGAATCAGTCGATCAATGAGCACTTTTAGTTTGCATAAACAACACTGCTTCTCGGCCAACTGATTACCTATCCAAGTCTTGGTCGACAAGGGTTTTCGAGTCCTTGTTGGTAGAGGTCATCTCATCAGCCTTCTCGGCGAAGTAATGTGTTACCATGTTACTACATTCCGCACATTGAAAGCCAAATTTGATATTTGAACTTCGCAGAACTAGTAGCCTTATCTTCAGGCTCTAGAACTCGAAGGCCGAGATGTGTTCATTCCTCAGCTGCAGTCGCAAGATCAAGAAGTCAGCAGTGCGCCTAACGCGACATCAACACATTTTACTCCCTGACCGAGCTCGGCCGACGAGTTGGCATGCCCCACACACAACCGCAAGACGTAATTAGCTTATTGATTACTTGGCCTGTGTGCCACATAGGCTTGGTAGTTTTTAAGGTCAACACATACATGTTTGGATTTTTGTGGGAATTTGTAGCTAGAAATGGTAGCAAATTTTGATGTGGAAAGAATAATGGGTTGAATCTGATATGCAGATAATATCATGAATCATGAAATGCGGTGGTTTTCGAATTTTAAGCGTCGAATGTAGGATGCCATGTTCTTGAATGGTTTAGGGATTATATTAGTTTTTGGCTTTTGTTGGAACTAAATTGCAACCAATGGGTTTCATTATAAAACATTGGTAGATTAATGGATATGGTTATTGTGAGACCATATTTTGCACATCTCCGGAATAGTGAACAACGCAAGGGTCGGAATCCCACTGCCAATAGGGTCCTGTTCATTTTGTCGACCTGTTTCGGAATGAAAGAGGCATTCCGGATAATACTATAGCAAAATAACAACACGGGGTGGTTGGTTACAGAGGGGAATCCTGAGTCAACTCTGCAGGCAGAGTTTTATGGCATTATGGCCTTGTTTGGCACACCGTATAGAGCATCGGATAGGACTAATTATACGAAGCCGGTTGTTTGGTGCCTTCCCGTATAAAATAGTCGCCGAATTAGTTTAATCAGTCTGCCTATTTAGTCGGGTATACACCTGCTTAATAAACCCTTCCAAAATGAGTGGATTATTAGTCCGGCTCACTTCCCTCTCTCTCGCACTTCGTTTCCACGACATCTCCTCTCGCCGTCGTCCCTCTCGCCAACGTCGTTCTCCCCGTCGTCATTCTTACCGGCACTGTCAACGCCTACGGCCTCCATGTCTTCCTTTGCTATAAGATCCCCGAGGTCTGGCCGTCGCGCGTCGAAGGCTCTGGGCTTCTTTTACAACTGGATCTTGCAAACAGTCGGGGAAGAAGAAGAAAGGAGAGAGAGGGAGGGAGTTTGGGGGGTGCGGCAGAGAGATATGGGCAAGAAACTGTAAAGCTTGCAATCCGGGCTTTGCTTGAGGTTGTCGAGAGTGAAGGAAAACACATAGAAGTTGCTGTGATGACAAAGGATCATGGTCTGAAACAACTTGAAGAAGCTGAAATTAATGCCATTGTTGGTGACATAGAAGCAGAGAAAGCATCTGTTATGGCCGCTAAGAATGGACCACCCAGGGAGACATGATAATACTTTATGGTTAAAACTGATCTCTACAGTTTATCTTAAAATAATAATACTTTAAATTCCTTCTATACCAAACCACAATATAAATAATACGATCATTAGTCCGATACTGCACCAAACGCCCGACTAATTTAATCAGTACTATCCGGTGGCTATTTATCCTATCCGACATAAATAGTCAGTACAATCCGAGCTGCCAAACGAGGCCTATGTGATCAGCCACCTCATAGACTCCCCGACCGGAATGCATGTGCTTAGGCCCCTCGTGCATCGTCCAACAATTCCTCCACTCAAATTCCATCATTCCCCAGTCAAATCTCAACTGCCAAATTCCAACGACTGATTTGACTGGACAGGTTGATGGTACCTGACCCATGCTGCGCCTGCAAACTTGCAACAAGTTGATACAACATATATTGTTGATGCAGCAGACCCAACAGTATCCTTTCCTGATCTTTTTAGTGAAGATTCTAGAAATTCGTGAATTATGTTCGTTTATCGTACATCATGCATTTATTTTTTGTCAAGTACTGTTTGTGTTTAATTTTAAATAAAAATATTTAAAATAATTTCTGACCGCTTGATGTACGATGAACGGATAAGATTGACGAATCTTTGGAATCCTCACAAAATGGATCCAGATTCGTAGTAGACCACACTGAGCCTTATCTCTTACTTAATTGCTCTGACGACCAAGACAATCGACAGAGTACTCAGAAGCTGACTTCAAAACGCCTATAAATAAGCCTTTTGACTCCTCATATTTTTGATTTGATCGTCGGAGCACCTACGCTGGAAACCATCTTTATGGACACTTGGTTTCACGACATTCTCTTGTTTTTGTACTTGCAGATCCCATCTGACAACCTGTACAGAATTTGTTTCAACAGTAATCATATTTGTTAATTAGCAGTAATTGTTAAAGTAAATGGTGTGGTGCTTTGTAATTGGCAAGGAACACTAGTTTTTTTAAGGTTTCAATGAAGTTTTTTTGTAAGGTTTCAATAATTTTTTTTTATTGTTGATGACCAAGTTGACAATACTCACCAACATTAATTGTACATAATGAGATAGCTAAAGCCTTACGGGGGTGGATAAGCCTTTACCCACCTCCTTAGAGCAGCTTCAGCGTGCCTTTTAGCCTTGTGGACAGGTTGCTCTAGCAACCCAATTGCCTGCCAAAGTGGTTCCAACCCATTCGGGCTATTGGGCTGAGGGGGAGTTTGAGGGAGAGCTCATGCATAAACCCAAGGCCTAAGCGTCTTATGGGAGAGTGATGCAAGGCTGACGTCAGCCACAATGTAAAATATTTTGCTTCATGTGTGTGGTTAACAAGTGAGCGTGGGGGCGCGCCTCCAACACATTTTCAGACTCTGGGACTCGCATGTCAGCCCCACTCAGTCACATTTGAATCTGGATCGTTGATTTCCAGATCAACAGTCCAGCTTTTTATGCTTTAAAAATTAAAAAAAAAAAAGAAAAAAAAGGAAAAAACTAGAAATGTTACAGTGGGTCACTTGTCACATTCTCGACTGTTGGATTTCAAATTTTTTTGTAATCTAACGGTCCAAATTAATTAAGTTAATAATTTTTTTGAAAAACATATTATTGATCCGAAAAATTAAAATTTTATAATTTTTTTTTCTATAAATACCTTATCATTTTCTCCCACTTTACACCACATTTCATTATTTTCAGCGATTCTAAACAGTTAAGGACAAGTCGCGCTATGAAATTGGTTAAAAATCTTATTGTAATATATCTATAAAAATTGTACTTTCGGATAATTACATGTGGTGTGACGAGATTGGTTAAAATCGTATTTGAAATTTACAAATTTTTATTTTATTTTATAAAAATACTAATATTTTATTGCCTATTGCCATAACTATTCAGTTTAGGGGTGAAGATACAAAAGACAATTACTGTTCATTAAAAATGGTTACTATTCACTTGAGGGGATTCAATTGCCCATTGCCATGGGAAGCCTTTATACACTGAAACTGCTCTTAGTCACTGTTAAGGGTTTAACCACCTCATTTTGTATAAACCATTGTAGTGGCTATTGTTAACTTTTCTTGTAATGTCGTGAGGTAGTACATTTCATATGCTATGTCTTGCTTATTCAATTCAAGAGACCCTAAATCATGATAACCTGATCCAAAATCATGATCACCATCGTTAATAGTAAGTGACATGTTATTATCAAGATTTATTATATGATCCAGAAAAATAATAAGGAGACTCTCTCAAAAGTGAGACTATCTGCCACCTCATGTTTTGATACAATGTTCTATAGTGTTAGCACATAAATTTATTTAAAGTGTAAAGTATCGAAAAGTCAATTCTATAGAAAATCATACTTTGAGAGAATCTCTTTAACATTTTTCATCAGGCTATCTTATTTTTTGTTTACTTTTAGTTTTGGTTCATCATAATTTATTTCACGTCACCGCCTGAGGTCTTTGTTTCGTCATCGATTGATTGGATTCCTAGTTGCTATATGCTGGCGTACTAACCTTCTGGATATTTATTTTAAATTTATTTTTCATTACAACTAGCATAATATTAATTTTGAAATCTCAAGTTGTTGGGGGAAAATAGGACATCAAATACTATATATTATCCCAACATTTTTTGTTTTTTGGTCATTGATATTATCCCAACTTTAAGTACCATTGTCTTTTGTCTTGTCCAAATGTAATTTCATTTGAGACACAGCGTTCGTACGAGGTTTTACTCGGGCAACGTTTTCTCAGAGCCGCCCCATACCGACATGCCTATTTGTACTTTATGAGCATTTTGCTTTAGTAATGAAATCTTCTATATATTATATTCCCCTTTAGAGAAAGTTATTTGTATCTTTTATTTGTAGACCTAGAGACTTTTCATTTTCTTTCAAGCGGAGCGTCCAAAAGCATTAGAAAAAAAGAAAAAAGTAAAACAAACTTGTTGAACAAGCTTGACTCATCCGGCAGGAGCAAATCAATGAATCAGACCCATTCCCATCAGTTTCACACAAGCTTTAATTAATCAAACTAAGTTTCTAGGAAATGACATAACCTAAGTAGAGAATGAAGTTGGACTATATTTCCCATCATTTGTCTGTAGCATAATAAGTAAAGGCATCCGAACTTGAATATTTGAGCTTCAAGTCCCTGTTCAGTGTTCCATTCAGACATTCACATGGAACTTTCCGCGCATACTCTTCCAATACGATTGCTGAAGATCGGTGGCCTCCTCTTTCCTTTGTTTTTCCTTTTCTTGTCAAAGGCGGCCTCCTCGTATTTCTGCTTGAGGACAAGACATGGAACTATCCGAGCATACTCCTCCAACATGATTGCTGAAGATCGGTAGCTTTCTCTTTCTTCTCTTTTTTTTTATTCCTTTTCTTGTCAAAGGCGGCCTCCTCGTATTTCTGCTTGAGGTACAAGACAAGACAATAGCTCCGCAAACAAAGCAGATAAAAAGCGATTTGGACTAAGCCAATAAAAAGGGAAGTGTAAATTATATGTTACTCTTTCAGAATTGTGTTCAATTGCAATCTCATATAACATCTTTGAAACATTTAAATCTCTTACATTTACGTAGTATTTTATTTTAATATCATATATCCGTTAAAAATCCTCTTAAATTGACTCCTAACAGATGACCAATGCATTGCATAAATTGGCTCCTAATTCTATTTATTTTCAATTATAACCATTCATTTTACGTATCATTGGATGATATGTAACATTGAAGCAAAACCTAACAGACTTAGAAAATAGTATTTCCTTCCCAAGGCAAGCACTACCTGTCTTTTGTAAAGATTGAAGCAGTAGCCTTAATGGAGACAATTAAGAAAAGCAGACTTGTAGATACAGAGAAGAAGAGAGAGAGCGAGAGAGAAAGAAAAGCTTTCTTGTATTTCTTGAGTGTCAAGTTACATTCCTTACACCTTTGCTATATGTATTTATATGATTACATTGCTTAATGCATAAGCTAGTATTCTAACAACAGATTCTAATAACCTTATAACTTCCCTTGGATCTTGTGACACTTGTCATCATCTAGACCCTTAAATTCCCTTCACTTGGATTCTCATCTTTGTGTTTGTTTACACTCTTACATCCCTCCTCAATCTCATGCTTGAGTGAACTAAGCATGAGATTGCTACAATGCTGTTGGAATAAGGGTGCAGATAAACCTATTGTAAGTATATCAACAAATTGTTCTGCATATGAAACATGTTGCACTTGAAGATCTACTCTCGTTACTCTTTCACAAACAAGGTGATAGTCAATCTCAATATGTTTAGACTTTGCATGAAACATAGGATTGGTTGATAGAGATATAGCTGAGATGTTGTCACAATAAATCATTGGTGCTTGATAAAGAGGAATGTGTAAGTCACAAAATAATTGTCTTATCCAAGCTAGTTCAGCTGCTGTGATAACTAGAGCCCGATACTCAGCTTTTGTTGATGACCTCGACATAATGTGCTGCTTCTTTGATGCCCAAGATATAGGATTGGACACTAGAAAGATCATAAACCCTAAGGTAGATCTTCTATCATTTGGATCCCCAACCCAGTCTGCATCACTATAAGATTGAACATGTATTGGCCCTGGTGTAAAGCGAATTCCATAATTTGATGTACCCTTAAGATACATGAGAATTCTTTTGACTGCAATTACATGGGACTCCATAGGATTATGCATGAACTGGCATGCTTGATTAACAGAGAATGCTATATTCGGCCTTGTAAATGTGAGATATTGAAGGGCTTCAACCACACTTCTGTATTGATTAGGGCTATGATATGACTTTCAATCGTTTTTTAGAAGTCTGTGATATGGCATACATGGAGTAGCACAGGGTTTGCAATCCTGCAAATCTACTTTGTCAACCAATTCACTGATATATTTAGACTGGGAAACAAATAAGCCTTCATCTGTGTGACTAATCTGCAGTCCCAGAAAATAATGCAGATTACCTAAATCCTTCATCTCAAACTC